TGCCTATCTCACACTGCGAATTTTTTCTAAGCTCTATACTAAACATTAAATCTGTTACGAAAAAAGAACTAAACAAAATGAACACAAAACGATCAGCTTTAAAAAAAAGGACTCGTAACTGGAAAAACCGGATGAAAAAAGAATGTTAACACCAATTATTTTTTAAAGGCAGGATGTGTGTGTGTGTGCGTGTGTGTGAGTGTGTGTGCGTGTGTGTGTCTAACGAATGCACGGCCGCAATTTTCGACGGATTTGCACCAAATTTTACATGCACTTGCTCCAAGTTAGCGGGAAAGACCAAGACCGAATTAGCATTTCCCAACTCCCATCAATAGTGGAAATAATCGATTTTTCATGCTTCTACGGCAGTTTTCATGTAGTTTGCGGCCATTTTCTACTAGCCAGAGTGAGACCCTATAGCTGGCTGCCACGAATAGGCAGGAATATTCTATTGGCCAGCGTGAGAGCCAACAGCTGACTGACACGAATGTTAACTAGCATGCTAACATGCAAAAAAAAAAAATCGATAGCTGCATTCGTCACAAGTGGGGAAAATTTAAATCTGCATGGCACTTTACTCCTATTGGCTGATTCGCTTGCTTAAACTCAACGTTGATTTTGATTCCGCAGAACTGGGTTGGGTGTGAAAAAGTATTTGTTGTTAACATTCTTTTTTCATTCGGTTTTTCCAGTTACGAGTCCTTTTTTCAAGCTGATCCTTTTGTGTTCATTTTGCTTAGTTCTTTTTTCGTAACAGATTTAATGTTTAGTATAGAGCTTAGAAAAAATTCGTAGTGTGAGATAGGCAAGAAGTAAGGCATGTAGCAACATCAGCACGGCAAAGGGCACTCCTTTAAAGGCAAGGAAGGGCAAAATATATTTTAAGTCAAGTGATAGCGATTGCTGTATGAGTCGTACGATTTTTGAGTCAAGCACGGGTAACGCCGGGCCATGCACTAGTAAAGTAACTAAATTTAAATAAAAAAAATTAATTTAGGTTTTAAAATAGAAACTTCACATGAAACAGATTTGTTTGAAAACAAATTAATTCAGTTTAAAGAAAAAAAATATTAATATTTTGAAGTAGTAACTTTATATAAAACAGATTTATTTGAAAAACAAAGTAACTCACAAACACAAGGATCTCATCGACTCAATGAGAATAATGTATCTGACTGCAGTCATTTACCAGTTTGTTAAAATAAGGCGTCAAATTGCTTGTAACAATTATTTGGCGTTGCTTGGTAACTTTCTCTTTCAAATTTACTAACATTTGCCGGGCCGTATGTGTCCCGGGGGCTGTTGTTTGCCCACCCCCGCGTTAAGCCCCCTTGAATTGCCTACTTTAGAGATAGCTACATAGAACTGGGGGATATCGACGTAGTGCAATGGTTAGCAAGCTTGTGTCGCTAGGACAACTCGTAGTGAGTTCGATCCATATTGGCTGCTCAATACTTTCTTTTTTTGCACCGCATCTAGGCTATGCTTAGGAAAAATCATCACAAAAGCTGCTTAGGGCTTACTGTAAGAAAAAAGCTTGAATAATGATCTAATGTTTGTATTATCATTATTATTATTAATAGGAATAATTTCAGCAAAGTTGAATTGTTCACTCGTTGGAATAATTGGGTACAGTTTAAAAAATTTCAATTAAACAGATTATTTTAACTAAATTTTTGCGATTCCGTTCGACTAGTTTGCAGTAATGTGAAAATGGTAGACGAAGACAATGGTTACTACGAACGTTGCAGGAAATGCGATCTTAGCTATTAGCGTTGCTGGACTTAAATTAAAGAATTCTTTTTAAAATATTAATATTAGCAAAAAATATTTTCTTTATGTCTGTTTCTTCAAAAGAATGTTAGTTTTAGAAGCCAAGATTACATCTATTTTAAGTATAAGCATTTAATTTTTTTTTCTGCTTAAAACTGAAATTTGGCAAAGCAGACATAAATTATAAACAAGATGAATTTAAAAATAAAACTTTACCGACTGAAACATTGTTTATATATATATATATATATATATATATATATATATAAATAATTATACTGCATATACCACTACACAAAGAAACACGTTCATTCACATACTCATTCTTTTCAGTAACTATCTATCTATCTGTCTAATTGACTTCAATATCTATCTATCTATCTGTCTATCTCGCATTCTCTTCAGTATCTATCTATCTATCTATCTATCTATCTATCTCTCATTCTCTTCAGTATCTATCTATCTATCTATCTATCTATCTATCTATTCAGTATTTATCTATCTATCTCTCATTCTCTTTAGTATCTATCTATCTATCTATCTCGAATTTTCTTCCGTATCTATCTATCTATCTCTTCAGTATCTATCTATCTATCTATCTATCTATCTATCTATCTCTCATTCTCTTTAGTATCTATCTATCTATCTATCTATCTATCTATCTCGCATTCTCTTCCGTATCTATCTATCTATCTATCTATCTATCTATCTATCTATCTATCTCATTATCTTCAGTATCTGTCGCTGTATCTCTCTCTCTCTCTCTATCTATCTATCTATCTCTCATTCTCTTTAGTATCTATCTATCTATCTATCTATCTATCTATCTAACTATCTATCTCGCATTCTCTTCCGTATCTATCTATCTATCTATCTATCTATCTATCTATCTATCTATCTATCTATCTATCTCATTCTCTTCAGTATCTGTCTCTGTATCTCTCTCTCTCTCTCTCTCTATCTATCTATCTGATATGTCATGCAGTGACGTCCAACTCGTTACGAATTACCTAAAATCTCAGCTTCTCAACACACATTTTTTCATATCACTGTTTAAATACGACTTCCCGCGCATAAAGAATAGAAGATAGATTGATACTAAAGAAAATGCAGAAAGAATTGTCTTCTTAAAGGAGACAATTCTTCATCAGATCTGATGGACTGGCGCTACAGGATCCGAACCAAAGTACTGTAACAAAAAGTCAAAAACAGATCACTTGAAGACCTCCAAGAGCAGCAATGACTAAAACGGATAGCCTGTTTAACTCGAAGGGAGAAAAATGAAATCAATACTAGAAAGATTGATAACTTAAAATATGATTAAACCTATATCCTGAAAACCTATAAATTTGTGTAATGCCCCCGGATTGGTGAATTAATGCCCAATGTTTCCTGTATGGAAACGGTAATGGCCCTCTAGTGGGTCTTAAGTTCACACCACCATCCCAAATGCAAAAGATTATTGAAAAATGAATATTTCATACTATTGTAAATGCTGCTTTCCTAAATATTTGGGTTATCAATGTAAATGGTGTTTTGTTGAAAAGATTAATGTGGCTGCGTGTTGAAGAGCATTTAACATTTATACATTTTTAAAATCAAGGAAAAACAATGGGAAACCAATTTGTGTTTCAACGATAAATATATATATATATATTAAAATCAACAATAAATACAAGGTAATTTTTATAATGTGTGAATAAGGAGAAAAAAGTAGTTTCCCTTTATCTGTTAGTTGAATATGGTGATATTTAAATAAGCAAGTTTTCTGAATAGAATGTTCAGAGTTCTGTGTTAAAATAGAATGTGTATTCAGAAGATCGTACAGTTGTGTGTTTTGTAACTAACAGAGTTGTTGCAACTTGGCTTGTTCATAAAGAACTGATGGTGAATGATATTCAAGTTCTGTGTCTGTGTTTTTGCGTGCGGAGTGAGTAGAATGAATAATCTGTGTAGACGCGTGTGAGTAGTTGAGTTCTACTGTCTTCAACTGTCTTCAACTCTACTGTTCAATTTGGGAATGAATTCGGACTTATATTACTATCGGTAGGCTCCCAGCACGAACGCGGGATAAATTTTGAAAGAACACGAAAAATATCTGATTGGATGAAAAATTAACCAATCGGTGATTTTATAACAAAAGCATGTTTGTGAGTTAACGGTAAAAAAAAAATTCAGTGTGGTGAATGCGATCAGTAAATTGTCCTGTGATATTTAGTATTTATTATTTGACCAATCACAGTTGAGAAAAATGTAGGCGTGGCAAACATAGTAGTAATCACTACACCATCACTCACGGATATTTTGTTTTGTTTGTTTAACGGCATATCAACTCCTTATGGGTCATTTAATACCGAAAATTGTGAGCTTTGAAGTAATAAAAATATGATATATGTTATTCTGCTTTCACAGTTGTGTACATGGTAGATGATAGCCCGCTTTTGTTTCATATACATGATTGTGTGGTTACTAGAGGCTGTGATATGTGTGTTTTATATTGTATATTTTTAAATACAGATTAATTTATTTAAGAAGTTGTAGGATATTGTATAGATATAAAGAAAATGAAGGATTTCTTCATATGAAGCATTTCTTTCATGTTGCTTAGTAGGTTGGTTGATTTTGTTTAGCGGCATATCAACACCTCTATGGGTTATTTAATTCTAAAATCAAAATATTTTGAACGCAATTGCATACCTACAACTACGGATAAAATGTATTGCGACCTATTTTATTATAAAACGTGTTGTTGGTTATTTTGTTTTATTGTTGCTCATTTTACTATAAATATATATATTTTTATACTTTCATTGTGTTTTGTTTTGTTTGGAAGTTCACTATTTGCCTATAGCCGAGACCCTAACCGGTGCTACCACCCTGGAACAACAGCAATTAAGATGAGGTTCCAAGCTCCTCAAACCGCCAATCTCCTAATCAAAGGCTTAACTGCCGTATGTAATTTCTCGCCATACCCAGGACAAGCTAGTACCAGACTTCTACTTTCCTGCAATCGTAATAAATATGTTTTACGGCTTATCAACCCTTTGCAGGTTATTTAAAGCCAGATGAAAATTGGGCCGGGTAAGATAATAATGGTATAAGTAATACGTTTTACTAATTGGTGGAATCATATCTTTCCCAAGCGTAAGTGTATATAGCTAATTCAACTCGGCACTCCAATTAACAATTTCGAGCCATTATCCATGAAACTAACAACAAATCTAATATTACAGCATCTGGTATTCCTAGGCGGTCACCCATCTCGGTACTAAACAGGCTTGACGTTGCTTAACTTCGGTGATCGGATGGGATTGCTATTAGCTTTTTATGTAGATTTAACCACCATCCATGAGAAGCTTTCAAATCGGTGGATGACGACCAGTATGGATTGTATTTGAATCTTTGTTTAACGGCATACCAACACCTTAATGGGTCATTTAATGCCGAAATGTATTTTTTTTGGTAGTTTGGAAGTAATAAAAATATATGTTTTTCTGCTTTCGCAGTTGAATACATGGTAGATGATGGCAGATTTTGTGCATACCAACACCTTAATGGATCATTTAATGCCGAAATGTAATTTTCTTGGTAGTTTGGAAGTAATAAAAATATATGTTATTCTGCTTTCGCAGTTGAATACATGGTAGATGATGGCAGATTTTGTGCATACCAACACCTTAATGGATCATTTAATGCCGAAATGTAATTTTCTTGGTAGTTTGGAAGTAATAAAAATATATGTTATTCTGCTTTCGCAGTTGAATACATGGTAGATGATACGCAGATTTTGTGCATACCAACACCTTAAAGGATCATTTAATGCCGAAATGTAATTTTCTTGGTAGTTTGGAAGTAATAAAATATATGTTATTCTGCTTTCGCAGTTGAATACATGGTAGATGATGGCAGATTTTTGTGCATACCAACACCTTAATGGATCATTTAATGCCGAAATGTAATTTTCTTGGTAGTTTGGAAGTAATAAAATATATGTTATTCTGCTTTCGCAGTTGAATACATGGTAGATGATACGCAGATTTTGTGCATACCAACACCTTAAAGGATCATTTAATGCCGAAATGTAATTTTCTTGGTAGTTTGGAAGTAATAAAAATATGTTTTTTCTGCTTTCGCAGTTGAATGATACGCAGATTTTGTGCATACCAACACCTTAATGGGTCTTTTACAGATCTTCTCCATGTGACATCGTCAATGAAAGTGAATAAATTGAACCCATTACATGTGCTTTGTACTACTGTGTTACTTGTTCTTCTATCATTCTCATTTCATTTTGCTAGGTGATGGCAAGACCACCCTTGATTAATATCATGGAAGACTTCTTTCATGTTGGTTGGTTGATTTTGTTTAGTGATATATCAAGATCTCTGTAGGTTATTTAATGCCGAAATCTAAATATTTTCAACATAATTTTATGGCTTCGGCTAAATATATTTTAAACGTAAACCTTCCACTACAGACAAAATGTATTGTTGGTCATTTTACTATAAAATGTATTGTTGGTCATTTTACTATAAAAATGTATTGTTGGTCATTTTACTATAAAATGTATTGTTGGTCATTTTACTATAAACTGTATTGTTGGTCATTTTACTATAAAAATGTATTGTTGGTCATTTTACTATAAAAATGTATTGTTGGTCATTTTACTATAAACTGTATTGTTGGTCATTTTACTATAAAAATGTATTGTTGGTCATTTTACTATAAAAATGTATTGTTGGTCATTTTACTATAAAATGTATTGTTGGTTATTCTATAAAATTGTATTTTTATGCTTTCTATAGTGTTTTCTCTTTGTTTTCACTATTTGCCCATAGCTAGGTCTCTAACAGGTACTACTACCCCAGGTCAGGGTGGAATGGGAAATATTAGCGATTAAGAGGTGGTTCCACACTCCGCAAAGGTCCCGATCAGAGGCCTTGTTGGCGGGTGTAATTTATCGTCAGGCCGAGGACTGCCCATTATGGAGAGGAATTTTGGTTCCTATAAATGGGAATTGATACCGCCTATGTTTCGGTATCTCAAGATTTGGAGCTGGTCGGTCCCACGATTGCTTACTCAAGAACTGAAAGACCACAGAATAACCAGAAGAAAATTGTTTCTTTGTTTTTTTTTTAATAATTTAACCCTAAACAAGCCATTAATCCCATTATGACGCAAGGGGTTGCCTAAAGTGAAAAAAAAAAGAGAAAATTAGTGAGGAGAAAGAAAAATAAAAGAACAGGTTTCAGGAAGACAGATGATTGCGATCGAAGTTGCATTTATTTTTTTATTTTTTTTTCTAAATATTGTAGGTGGCAGGGAAGCAAGAAGTGCGTTCCACAGGCGAGAAGTACGAAAAAAGAAACTATAAGAATAGTTATTTCCTCTAGCTATATCTAAAACGATGAGATAGTGGCTATATGTCACCTGACATCAAATATTTATGTCCTCCATGTGATTCGTTTGTAATCCTAATTATGTTAACATTTGATATAGAAATGTATTATGTCTTAGATTATTACTTTACTATTGGGTTAGCATAGGTGAGTGCATATTCACGGAAAATCGCGTGTACGTTACGACGCATCGTAGGAACGGGGCACTGTCGTAAGTCGAAAACTCCGTGTATTTTCATTTTATTCTAACCTATTTCCTATCTATAAATTTCAATGACTTGTTCGATCATGTCCTCACGGAAGCTGTTTCTGTTAGACATTCTCATGACGGTTGTCCTCGAGTATAGAATCCAGAGGTTGGCAGTGAATATTTCGGAGACAGTAGGAAAGCGTACTTTAGGTTCGCAGTGGATATCACAGCAGATCCTTCTCCTGGTCGCCTTTGGTCCTTCCGGTAGAGGAAACAAGATGGCCGCCTTTATACACGACGAATAAAGTGTTGTGCGGCTTCTGATTGGTCAACCTTCTATTGGTCGACTATAAAGAGAAACAAGTCATTCTGACTCGCTCACTAGTTACATACGGTATATACACAAAAAACCGTAACAGTTTCAACTTATATGCATATATACGTATACATATTGACTTTCCTAGTAAGCGATAAGGACATTTTCTTGTTATTGCAACACCAGTCCTGACCTCACTGGATTAATGTACTCTACAAGACCAGCCGTTGGTCCTGTCCTGGTTCAGTATTACTGGTTCAATCAAGGTCCCCGGTTCACGATGTCGATTTGATTCCACTTTCCAGCCATGTTGTGATTTTTTGATCCTGGAAAGCAATTAACAAATCGTAGATCCCGGAAAATTCAGCTGGTCTGCCTGCAAGTTCGTTGGGGCGAGAATCGGGCCAAGCAGAAAAATCAAATATGAACAAATCGATTCGAGTCCAAAGAAAGGTTTATGTATATGTATATAAGGAAGAAATTGGTACAAAAAGAATAATGCTTCTTCTACAAGGAAGTAGTGTATATGAAATAAATCCATAGGAAAGAAAAAAAAGAAACAAATATGGCAAATAATTTTGAAGGGAGAGAATTAGTTTTCTGGTTCATCCTTTTTGTTATTAGTAGTTGCCGTAATTATTTCAGCAGCAAGAGGACGCTTTCACTCTCACTGCTCCTCTCTCTCTATCTCTTTCCCTCTCTCTCTCTCTCTCCCTCTCTTTCTCTCTGTCTTTTTCTCTCTTTCTTTCTCTCTCTTTCTTTCTATCTCTCTCTTTCTCTCTCTCTTTCTCTCTTTCTTTCTCTTTCTCTCTTTTTCTTTCTCTCTTTCTTTCTCTCTCTCTTTTTCTCTCTTTCTCTCTCTCTCTTTCTCTCTTTTTCTCTCTCTCTTTTTCTCTATCTCTTTCTCATTCTCGTTCTCTTTCTCTCTCTCTCTCTCTCTCTCTCTCTCTCGTTGTCTTCGACTGACTTCAACTCGATTGACTCAACTGTCTGTTTTCGCACAAACACGCGCTTAATTAAACGCGGTGGTAGTCTCAAAAAATAAAGCAAAAAAAAAGTGGGATGTTGGTAACTTAAAATACAACCCGATTACTAACCTCTCACCATCCACGACTAAATGACCAGTCTCTTCTTCTCAACTGGTATTCCATAGTTCATATAAACACTATTGTTTTGGCATTTTATATTAATAATTCTGACGAAGCACAGATTCTCTGGACACAAACTTCACCCAGATTATTTTTCTCATCTATAAACAAAATTCTATACTACTACAATTGTTAATATTTCAAGGGTGACCATTGCTATCTGCCATACTATGAGTTGGTGAATTCCCGATAAAAATGTTCGTGAGTGATGTAAGTGCGTGTTCACGGAAACTTGTCACGACGCATCGTAGAAACGGAATTCTGTCCTAAGTCGAGGAGCCCCTGTATTTAGAATTGGGTTTTTATAGCTCCTGGATGGTAATGTTTAATTTAAGAAAAAAAAATGAATCGGTTCCACACGATATAATTAAATTAACCCTTTAACTTTCTTAATGTTTGCAGCTTGGATCCCACACTTCCGCTTTGTGAAGGTGGGAAATGACAGATTTTTTTAAAGGTCGATTAAACTATTTGCCTAGCTGGGAACAATTAAACTCCAAGAAATTTTATTACGAATTGATTTTCGAAAAAAGAAAATTAGAAATCTTATTCAAGCGTCAAGATTGTTTAATAGTGTAGAAAGCAATAAAGATGTCAAGTGAAGAATTTTGTTCTGTGACGTTCAAAACACGATAAAAAAAATAATGAGAAAATAATTGAAATTGAATAAACGCAAAATCGCTGTATCGTAAATTTTGTGATGTCAACGAACACTCGTTGCCACTTTTGTGTTGTCAACGAATACTCGTTGTCACTTTCGTAGTGATCGTTGTAGTAGAGACTTTGTAATCGCAGATGCAATTATAGTAATGGCGATGAACAATACTGGTGTCAGACACCTTCGAATATCACTTGCACTAAATAGTACTTGCTCGATAATACTCGCACGTTTATTAACCCGTATAGTGATCTATATAGAGAAATATTATAGTGAATAGAGTAGATAATAGCGGTCCGTATAGTAATAGAGTATAGAGCAAGAATAGAGATCCGAATAGTAATAGACGATAGACTAGAAATGACGATTTCACGGTATTTTTCATATATGGTCACGTGGTATAATTAATTCAATAGTGGGATCTGTTGGAAGTTTTGGGTACCCTGGTGTCCTAGTGAGCCAGCCAAAACGAGCTGACTCATTTTAGAGTTCACCAATAGAAGGGTTAACCAATCAGAAGGCTCAAAATATTCAATGCGGCGTGTATAAAAGCGGCCATGTTTTTCCTGAATATTCACTACCAGTTTTTGATATCGAAGAC